TCTGTGGCAGCATACCCCCCTGTGCGCCGAAATTGATAAGTCGAGTTATACTTCACCACATGTAGCTACAGTCTAGAGCTACAACATATCTGAAATTGGTGAAGTTTTAACTGTGCGTTTTTCGTCGACGATATTTCTTGTGACGACGACTTTTCTGTCCAGAATTATAGTCAACGATTTTGAGATATTTCGGCCCATAATCTTCATAGACTCCGTCCTTAGTCTCTAACAAAGAGCGATATGATATGAATCAAAGAAACAAAGAGAAAAACGAGGGTGGTGTCGGGGCTTGGATTAGGAAGGCATGGCAGGAGGCGAAGAGAAGAGTGCCATACATGGACTGGATGTTGGTGGTGAAAGCCTGGGGTATAGGGCCAGAAAGAGAATTCCACGACAGGTCTCTGCAGTGGAGGGGGGGCGAATAGAATAGACATGAGCAAGGGCAGGGGCTGCAGTGCAATGAGGGCCGGCCTGCCGGGTGCCGGTCTGTGTGTGGTTCGAGCCGAGAAGCAGCCCGAGCTCAAATGGCCGGACCAGGGCAAAGATTGGCCCAAATTGTGCTTTCCTATGCCCGCTGCTTTCGGCAATAAAATGGTTCATAGAGAGTGGAGATGTTTTGTCACGCTGGCACTGCTTTTGAGACGCCTCAAAAGCTTTCGTACGGCCGTTGCTTCATCCGTATTAAAATGGTTAACAGAGAGTGGAAGATGTTTTGTCACGCTGGCACTGGCCCCGCCCCCAGCCAAGGAGGCCGGTGCGAGCCTACCCAAGGGTGGCTGGCCCTGGTGCAGCCATGCTCATCTCATGCATGCATGCTTGTGCAGCCATGCTCATCTCATGCTCATCTCATGCATGCATGCTTGTGCAGCCATGCTCATCTCATGCATGCATGCTTGTGCAGCCATGCTCATCTCATGCATGCATGCTTGTGCAGCCATGCTCATCTCATGTACTAAAGGATCTAGACAGAGGCGGAGAGGGGTTGAGACGGTGGGAATCCGGGGGAGGAACCTTACAATGAAGTGAGGGCTGTTAGGTCTGAAAACGATGCCGAAATTGTCCCTTGGATGTGGTTCTTGACTTTTGAGTCGGCTCAAAGTGAGTTGACTTCTAAAAAGTCATCTCCTTACATTGAGGTGAGGGCTGTTAGGGCGGACAACGATGCCGGAATTGTCCCTTGGATGTGGTTCAGACCTAAAATGCTGAAGGGAAACAAGGGGGACGAACGAAACACAGCACGCATGCGAAATTAGGGATGCAAGCAAGCGAGGTGTTGTTGGGTGTGAGAAGATAGGCATTGGCACGGTGCAGCGGCAATGGCTTTCATGCTGGTTGCAGCAGCATGGCTAGCAGGGCAAGAGGAATGGTAAGGAAAGGAGGCTAGAGAGAGAGTCATCATGGACAGAACGGTGCATAGCAGCATGGCAGGAAGGATGGCAGGGTGAGCAGCGAATTTGAGTCGATTTGGATGGCTCAAATTGACTCAAATTGACTCATGGACTCACAGCTCCGCCAGATTGACCAGCGAGGACCAGCTCTCAGGCAAAGAACCTTCCAAGTTGTTTCCAATGAGGAATCTGCACAGCATGGGAGCATGGGAGCACGCAGCACATGAACACCTGAGCTTCTGACTGGTGGAGGTAAAAAGAGAAACTTATGCAGGAGTTGTGATTGTTTTCCTTGCCCTAGCGGAGACAACAATGTAGCAAGGACAACATTGTGATGGTGTGGGGGGCAGGGCTTATTGTGACAAAAAAGGTGACAAAAAAAATGTCAGATCGTGACAAAAAATCGAATTGAATTTTGAGTCAACTCAAAAGTCAATTCGATCGGGTCGGCCTGGTCAGGTCAGGACCACTAGAGGAGCGGCCAAAACCCCGAGTTGGTCTGGTGGCCAAAACAACCCGACCCGGTTTTGGAACCCCGAGTGGGTCTGGTGGACCCAACCCAACCCGACCTGACCTGACCTGACCTGTTGGTCATGTCTACACTAGAGTAATGTATTCTCATCATGCTTTGAGTTAACTCTCAGAGCCTGCATGCTCGGTGCACCAAGCTGAAAAACCGTCATAAGTCTTCAACCCACTAATAGCTCACATCGTAAATTATGGTATAGTTTGGAAAATTTTCATTCAATTCTGATAAAAATAAAACATAAAACAAAAATCCGACATCTCTCAAGCATGCTGAATTAGCTCACAGGGTGGTGAGTGCTGTGAGCCCAGACATGTCGTCCTTGAGCAGTCCGTGGCGGCGTGGATCGTCATTATTCACCACCCTGCACACAAGGCACAAGGGAAGGCGAGTTCGTGAGAGTCTCTCCGCTGCGATAAGAACCAACCATGGCAATGGTACGTGCCGTGCAGTTACCTTGTGCCTCATGAGGGGTGTGATGTGATGTGCGGCAATGGCAACGAACGCGAGTAAGGTGGGACAAGCTCACGGGTGCTGAAGGCTGGAGAGGTGAGCCAACCAATCAGGAAACTCCAAGGCACGAAGGTAGGATAGGTCCCTGGAGGGGGGGAGGCAAGAGGGCACCACACCATGCAGGCAAAAAGCAGAGAGATGCGACCATGTCCGGGGGGGCAATGTTTCAACCAAGTTGCTAGGAGAAGTTTCACATTGCACATGAACAGGGTTGTTTCATGTGTCCCATGCTTGGGACTTGTGTGCAGCTTACAGTGCAGTGAGGGCAGTCAAGTATGTGATCTCTCCGGGTATCTCCCCTGTAGCGTTGGTGAATGAAATGAGTTTCCTGCGTTCATGCACAGCATGCACAGGCAATCGGCAAGACTGAATGCACCACTGACGCGAATTGAAGGCTGGCTTAGCAACCATACTACGAGGCACAACACAACTGAAGGATGGTTTGTCATGAGATATAGGATAGCAGCATAGCACCATCACGCGACCACAATATCTTTGTGCACTGCACTGCACTGCACTGCACTGCACTGATGCTTACAGCTCTTGAAGGCTTCGCAAGTGAGAGAGAATGTGCAGGGAGGACAAGTCCCCTGTAAATTTCGCCAAGCCAATCAGACTCCTGGTGGCAGGAGGGCGGTGTGGCATGCATGCATGAGCATGAGTTGGCGCAGTGTGCACGAGTTGCCTTTTAAAGGCGCCTCAAAATAGGGCAGTGAGGCATGCATGCATGCATGCATGGACATTAGCATGAGTTGGTGCAGTGTGTGCGAGTTGCAGGCGCTATGTTTGTGGCGTGCACCACGGCTGAAGGAATGAGTGGACAGCCAACAGCAAGCGCAATGACATGTCTTCCTGGGCGAACATGGGTGGCACCGGGTGGGGATAAATGGCATGGCAGGGCGAGCATGGGTGGCAGGGCGAGCATGGGTGGCAGGGCGAGCATGGGTGGCAGGGCGAGGATGGGTGGCAGGGCGAGGATGGGTGGCAGGGCGAGGATGGGTGGCAGGGCGGGCATACAGTGTTTGCAGGGCGGTGAGGGAGGAAAGCCAATCCAGTCCGTCCAACGTGCCATTCAGCCTGCAGCCGTCCGTTCCGATGGCCCTGAGGTCACACATGGCATGGTCACACGTGGCATGGTCACACGTGGCATGGTCACACGTGGCATGGTCACACGTGGCATGGTCACACGTGGCATGGTCACACGTGGCATGGTCACACGTGGCATGGTCACACGTGGCATGGTCACACGTGGCATGGCCACACGTGGCATGCAGGGAACATGCCGCACATCCTTTGGGCAATGGGGATGAGAGGAGAGACGCCAGAGGTACCGCATGCAGGGACCGCATGAATAATCAAGGGCAGAGAGCATGTAGGGACGAATGGTAATGATCACAAGTGTGAGAAATTGGGGGAAGGTCAAAATCACTTAGGGTTTTGGAGCGTGGATGGGATGGGAACAAGGGTCAGGCTTGAGAGCAGGATTCGGGCCGTGCAATAGAGTAAAATGAGGGTGGGGGTGGATGGGCATGGTGAATGGGCATGGTGAATAGGCATGGTGAATGGGCATGGTGAATAGGCATGGTGAATGGGCATGGTGAATGGGCTTGGTGAATGGGCATGGTGAATGGGCATGGTGAATGGGCATGGTGAATGGGCATGGTGAATGGGCATGGTGAATGGGCATGGTGAATGGGCATGGTGGATGGGCATGGTGGATGGGCATGGTGAATGGGCATGGTGAATGGGCATGGTGAATGGGCATGGTGAATGGGCATGGCGGATGGGCATGGCGGATGGGCATGGTGAATAGGCATGGTGAATGGGCATGGTGAATGGGCATGGTGAATGGGCATGGTGAATGGGCATGGTGAATGGGCATGGTGAATGGGCATGGTGAATGGGCATGGTGAATGGGCATGGTGAATGGGCATGGTGAATGGGCATGGTGAATGGGATGGTGAATGGGCATGGTGAATGGGCATGGTGAATGGGCATGGTGAATGGGCATGGTGAATGGGCATGGTGAATGGGCATGGTGGATGGGCATGGTGGATGGGCATGGTGGATGGGCATGGTGAATGGGCATGGTGAATGGGCATGGTGAATGGGCATGGTGAATGGGCATGGTGAATGGGCATGGTGAATGGGCATGATGGATGGGCATGGTGGATGGGCATGGTGAATGGGCATGGTGAATGGGCATGGTGAATGGGCATGGTGAATGGGCATGGTGAATGGGCATGGTGGATGGGCATGGTGAATGGGCATGGTGAATGGGCATGGTGGATGGGCATGGTGATTGGGCATGGCGGATGGGCATGGCGGATGGGCATGGGGAATGGGCATGGCGGATGGGCATGGCGGATGGGCATGGTGGATGGGCATGGCGGATGGGCATGGTGGATGGGCATGGCGGATGGGCATGGCGGATGGGCATGGCGGATAGGCATGGTGGATTGATGGGCCTTGTCCAGCAGATAAGGCACTGAGGTCTGAAAGCACGGGAGAGCAGCACGTACAGGTGGGTGAGGGCGGTGAGAGGGGCGAGAGATGGAATGGACCCCACAAGATCAAGGTAAGACAGATCGCTGTGGGAATAAGAGGGCGGGAGGGAACAGTGGGAAAGGCAATGGCATGGAAGAATGGGCCTCTTAAGATGTATGGCCTAGAAAAGGTCACAGTTTCTGGTGAAATGACACCATTCGAGAAGCGAGGCATGGAAGGGCAGTGGGGTGGGATGGGTTCTGACGTGTGGAAGGAGAGGAATGAGATGGAAGGACGCAGCATGGTGCCGGTGGGAAGGGTCTGAAGCATGAGATGAGAAGAAAGCGCTTGGTGGATGTGATGAAGGGAGAGGTGGGTGATGAAGGGAGAGGTGGGTGGTGAAGGGAGAGGTGGGTGGTGAAGGGAGAGGTGGGTGGTGAAGGGAGAGGTGGGTGGTGAAGGGAGAGGTGGGTGGTGAAGGGAGAGGTGGGTGGTGAAGGGAGAGGTGGGTGGTGAAGGGAGAGGTGGGTGGTGAAGGGAGAGGTTGGTGGTGAAGGGAGAGGTGGGTGGTGAAGGGAGAGGTGGGTGGTGAAGGGAGAGGCGGGTGGTGAAGGGAGAGGCGGGTGGTGAAGGGAGAGGCGGGTGGTGAAGGGAGAGGCGGGTGGTGAAGGGAGAGGCGGGTGGTGAAGGGAGAGGTGGGTGGTGAAGGGAGAGGCGGGTGGTGAAGGGAGAGGCGGGTGGTGAAGGGAGAGGCGGGTGGTGAAGGGAGAGGCGGGTGGTGAAGGGAGAGGTGGGTGGTGAAGGGAGAGGTGGGTGGTGAAGGGAGAGGTGGGTGATGAAGGGAGAGGTGGGTGGTGAAGGGAGAGGCGGGTGGTGAAGGGAGAGGTGGGTGGTGAAGGGAGAGGTGGGTGGTGAAGGGAGAGCGTGGGTGGGGACGGACAGGTATTGCAGATTGGCGAGGGTGGTGATGGCGGCGGGTAAGGCGCCACTCGGGGGAGGATCCGATTCGGGAATCAGCTTAGCATCCCTGCTAGCACACGCAAGCAGCCCATTCAGAAGCAGTACGGGCAGCGCAACCATGAGTGTCGCATGAGGAGCAGGCGGTGATGGAGGCACAGTGATGAGTGCCTCTGCATGATGGCACAGTGATGAGTGCCTCTGCATGATGGCACAGTGATGAGTGCCTCTGCATGATGGCACAGTGATGAGTGCCTCTGCATGATGGCACAGTGATGAGTGCCTCTGCATGATGGCACAGTGATGAGTGCCTCTGCATGATGGCACAGTGATGAGCCGCGCCGCGGGCAATGAGCGCACGGACCGAGAATGAAGGGCGGTGAGGTGCAGTGAGGGACAGTGAGGGGCAGCAACGGGTAGAGAGGCGCCGAGGTAGGTAAAATGAGCGGCAGGAGGACCCACAGGGCAGCGACGAGCCCTTTAGAGCTGCACGTGACGCCAGCCCATGCAGAGCACGCCGTGGTGGCGTTGCTGTTGCCCGCCCACGCGCCCCACGCCTCCTTCAGCTGCACCAGTGCCCTCACTGCGGGATTCGGCACACGGGGTAAATGATGTAGCAGATTCGGGTGAACAGGCCAGCGCCCGGGAATAGGGCATCATAGGCCATGAAGCCATGAAGCCATGACTGAAGCCATGAAGCCATGAAGCCATGACTGAAGCCATGCCATGACTGAAGCCATGCCATCACTGAAGCCATGAAGCCCATTGGTTTGGACTATCTGTGCTACGTTTGTTCTCAATGAAGTTGGGCGAGAAGGGCCTTGGCGTGCGCGCGGCGGCGCGCAAGGTCCCTGCTTGAATGATGTGGTGAAAATGGAGAGCGTGGGTGGTCCGGACTGCGGCAGTGCGGGATGATCATCCATGAGGCTGGTGGATTAACAAGAGACACACATTAACCCTCGTTCGTGCATGTCCCCACCTGACCGATACGTGTGGCCCCGTAATTTCGCAGTAGCCGAAAGGCGTGCCATTATCTGCGCGTTGCCTTTAGGTCGATTCGCACCTATTCTCTTTCTGGGTGAACGCTACACTTTAGAACCAGAACGAGTATCTCGGCTTGCGTGTTACTATGCTGGCAGACCCAATAAAGAGTTGGGGTTCCGCACGTGCGAGCGTTTTCTCAGTTTAGGACCATCCTTAGTCATCTCCAAAATGTTCTGACCCAAAAGGGGCCCCCAGGTGACTTCCGGGCAAGATTGGGGACATCTGGAAATCTGTCTCAAGAGTAGAATGCAACGGAATGATGAGACTAGCAAGTGTGGAAGTACAAATATGCAACCCTAACAACTGTACTCCCTATTGTGCTACTCACTGTAGCCTACAAGCATAGAATTACATTTGACACACCCCCATAGGCTAAGTGAGGGGCATCAAAGCAAGCAAGGTGAACAAACGGTCACAAGACCAGTCAAAGCAAGAAACAAGGCAAGCTCAGGGTGGATCTCAAGGACACCACACAAATTCCGAGCGCAAGCAAGCGGCCACAAGGCCAGTTCAAGAGTTCACTAGGATATAAATAGAAAGCACAACAAGCAGAGCAAACAACAAGACTACAGCAACCGAGGGCCTACCTCAACAAGCCCCAACTGCACACAGAACCTGTGGTGATCACCAAGCGCCAAGGCCTTGGTGAAGACGTCTGCAGTGTTGGCCTCTGAGGCCACAAAGTCCAGGCGTGCCTGGCCGCGTCGCTGCAGCTCTCGCAGGAGGAAGTACCTCACGTCAATATGCTTCACTCTGCTCTCCAGTCGAGGCTCTCGACACAGGAGGATCATGGCCTTGTTGTCAGCGTACAAGGTCGGTGCAGAGCGTGGCCGCTCACCAAGGTCGGCGAGCAAGAAGGTCAACCAGCGAAGCTCCTGTGCCGCCATGGCACCAGCGTAGATCTCTGCCTCTGCACTGGAAGTAGCCACAGACGACGACCGTGTAGACCTCCACGACACAGCACCAGCTCCCAGACTGAAGCAGTAACCCTGAGTCGAACGCTGAGTCTCCACGTCGTCAGCGTAGGAAGAGTCGCAGTGACCAGTCAACGCCACTGGCTGAGTCCCTCCAAGCACAAGCCCCATGCCTGATGTAGTCGCCAGGTACTTCGCCACCCTCACAGCAGTTGTCCAGTGGACAGGGCGGTGTCTCCCAGTCGCAACAAAGCGAGAAAGGATGCTGAGTGGAAAGGCGAGGTCCGGTCGAGTACAAGTCATCAGGTACATGAGGCAGCCCACCAGCTCTGCGTAGGGTCCACTGGACTCAAAGGGCTCGTCAGGAAAGGGGCCCGTGAGTCTGTGGTCAACAGCAAGAGGATTGGGCTGTGTGGTGGAGAACTGGAAGTCGAACCGCCGAAGGACCTGCTGCACCATGTGTGACTGCGTCAGTGTGATGGTGCGAGCGGCTCTGTCCCGGGTGATCTGCAGGCCAAGGTAGCGCTGCAGCTCACCCAGGTCAGTGCACTTGTGTCTCTTCTGCAGTTCGGACTTCACCTGAGCCAGGGCTGCCCTGTCTGCTGTAGCAAACATCAAGTCGTCGACGTAGACAAGGATAAAGAAAGGAGTAGAACCCGCTCGAACAAACAGCGACGGGTCGGCGGAGGACGGGCTGAACCCAAGGTCACGAAGCGTGGAGCGAAGAGTGTCGTGCCACTCACGGGGCGACTGGCGGAGACCGTAGACTGGTCGCCTCAGGCTCCACTGGGTCCCAGGTGGGAAGGTGTCAGTGAAGCCAGGAGGACGGCGCAGCCAGATCTCCTCGTGCAGTCGGCCCTGGAGGAACGCAGTGGAGAAGTCGAGGGAGTGCAGCTTGTAGTCTCGCTGCGCTGCTATGTGGAGTAACACCCGAAGAGTAGTCATCTTCGGGGTCGGGGCGAAGGTCTGGAAGAAGTCAACTCCCTCACGCTGACTGAAGCCCCTAGCCACGTAGCGCGCCTTGAACACCGGCGGTGCTCCAGGCGGCCGTTTCACCTTGAAGAGCCACATGCCATCGACTACGTTCGCCCTGGGAGGGGGAACTGCATCGACGTAGGTGCCTGTGGATCTCCAAGACGCCAACTCTGAGTCCATAGCCGCTTTCCACTGAGAGGCCCACGCCCCTGACACTGCCTCGCGGTAAGTGCGAGGAGTCGGTATGTCAAGGGCGTCGGGGTCTCCCTCAGGGGAGAGCAGCATGGCACACAGAGAGGGAGAAGCGGCTGCCCAGTACTCCAGCTCAGACTCTCTGTCCTCTAGGACGTCACAGCCAAGGGCAAACCCACCCCCGACGGACAGAGGACGGTAGGGAGGAGCTGGCACCACACGGGTGGCGTAGTCAAGGCGGCTGGTGGCAGCAAACTCAGCGACAACGGCAGTAAGAGCGGAGGCAGACGACGGAGGGAAACGAGAGTCGGTGACAAGAGTGGCGAGGACACGTGCGGCAACAGGACGTACAGCGCGGTAGTAGTCAGAGATAGGAGTGGGGAGGGCTGGGAGAGAGGACGGAGGAGGAGACGGGAGAACGGACACAGGAGAAGGAGAACGACGACGAGACGAACAAAGGAGGGAAGTGTGGAGGTCAGTAACAGCGGACGAGTGACGAGCACGCGGAGGACAACGAGTGATCAAGTCGCGACGGACAGAGGGAGGAGGAGACTGAGGAGGAGGAGAAGACCAGATCGCCGGACGGTCGTCAGGAGGAGGCAACGGAGGAACAAACACAGGAGGAGACTGGGAGCGGACAGGAGGAGAGGAGGAAAGGCCAAGGGCCCGCAGGCCACTCACAGGTGGGAACAACCGCCGCTCCAGAGGAAGCTGCGGTGGCAGCTGCGGCCGCTGCTGCTGCGGCTGCGGCTGCTGCTGCTGCGGCTGCGGCTGCGGCTGCAGCTGCTGCTGCTGCTGCTGCTGCTGCTGCTGCTGCTGCTGCTGCTGCTGCTGCTGCTGCTGCTGCTGCTGCTGCTGCTGCTTCTGCTGCTGCCGCTGCTGCTCCAGAAGGTCCAGCACCCGCAGCTCCTGCCGCTCCCTCTCCAACCGCTCCTGCTCCTCACGCTCACGCCGACGGGCAGCCTGGAGACGCGTGTCGTGGCGGTGGGGAGGCGGAGTGGACTCCCCAGAACCAGGGTCTCCAGCGTCAGTCTCCTCAGACTCAGCACCCCCAGAACCAGCACCGCCAGTGCCAGGATCTCCAACTCCAGCACCCCCAGAACTAGCACCGCCAGTGCCAGCACCCCCAACTCCAGCACCCCCAGAACTAGCACCTCCAGTGCCAGCACCTCCCGCTCCAGCACCCTCAGAGCTAGCGCCACCTGCGCCAGCACCTCCAGCTCCAGCACCCCCAGAGCTAGCGCCACCTGCGCCAGCACCTCCAGCTCCAGCACCCCGCGACCGAGCACCCCCAGACCGAGCACCGCCTGCGGCTGCACCTCCAGCTCCAACACCAACCGAGTTCACAGGAACCTGTCACGGAAGTGCCGAAGGCTGCTGAGGGGACTGTGAGGAGGACTGCGGGGAGGGAGACGCTATCTGACGCGCGACCGAGGGTAGAGGGGTAGCGTGGGACACACCAGACGGGGCAGGACCAGGGGGGGGCGGGGGTACCGGAGGAGCGGGAGCAGGAGGAGGAGAGGGTGCGAGGAAAAGAGGGGGAGGGGGTACCGGGAGACCTCGACAGGGGTACCGGGTGTAGTAGGACACAGACTCGTCAAACCGGACGTCACGGGAGTCTAGGAACTGGTGGAGGGGCGGGTGGTAGAAGGACCAGTCGGCAGAGTCTACTGGGAAACCAAGGAAGACACAGGGGACGGCGCGTGCCGAGAGCTTGTCCGCAGAGGTGTCGCGGACTTGCGCAAGGCAGCCCCAGATTCGAAAGACCGACCCAACACCAGGGGAACCAGTCCAAAGACTGGTCGGTGAAGCCTCGGGCCGCGAGACACGCGGCTGGAGGTTCAGCTGGTGCGCGGCGTAGCGAACCGCGTAGGGCCACAGAAAATGGGGCGCACGGGCATGGATCATGGACGTGCGGGCGATGTCCATGACCAAGCCTATGCGGCGCTCAGCAACCCCATTCTGCTGTGGGGACTCTGGCAGCGTCCAGGACTGGGTGATGCCCTGTTCGCCGCAGAATCCGCCGAGAATGCCGGAGCGAAACTCGC